TCCCTGCCATTCCGTCTCCTCTTGCAGGTTCTGACCATGGCCCAGCGGAGCACTCAGTGGGCCCTGGGATGGGTTCGGGACCCTTTTCCCCTGGGTTTCTCCTGCTAGAACTGCACCCAGTTCCAGGCACCAGAGACTGTGCTACCCATCAGCACCATCTGGAAATTCTCTCTGTTGAAACTGGGGCCATCAGGGAGTTCCCCTCTGGGCCTGCTTCCCACCCCTCAGGTGTGTCCCTCATCCACCACCAACTTCTCAGCTCTTGAAGCCCCAGTTCATAAACTACCCTACGTGGTGGTTAGTTCTGGCAGGCAGTTAACTGGTTTCTCTAGTGTGGACAGGAGTCTCATCTGGCCTTTATACCTGTGTTGCTATCCTGTTTCTGAGGCGTGAAAATCCATTTAATATTTGAACCTACGTTGGAATAAATTAGTTTAAAAATTAACTTATGGAGGGAACAAGTGTGGAAGACTGAAATAGAGCAGAAGTGCTAAGGGCTTCCAGCTGGGCCGTCGTCTTCCTCAGCTCCATGCTGCGAGGGTCCAGGCAGCTCTCTCTACTGAAATGTGGATTTTATCCTATGGATCTTGACAAGCTGTCCAGTTTCATATCTTTTAGGCAGATTTACCTCAGCATTCACAGTGGCTTCGTCTATGTACGATTCTTAAGTTTTCCTCTAAGGGGTAGTAATTGCCTCCCTGTTTTCCTGTTAACTAATGAGTTAAGCAGCGTCTTCCATAGGTGTTCATTTTACAGAATCGGTGTGAGCGTCATGGGACTTGCCCACCGGATATTATCCCTTTGTGTGGAGGACTTTCAGGGCGAGCTGAACATCTTCTTTATTGACAAGGTTGAGTGTATGTGTTTGGGACCTAGGGAGATTGGGATGAAGCTGTTTTATTTATGAGAAATATAAAATAGAGTAGCAGATGGGATAATGTGAAATAAGCAATAAGAACAGAAATAGGAGGCAAGCAGACCCTGGTAAGAGCTGCACCAGGGCACCAAGCATGGCCTTTCTCGGAAGGTTCCGGAGTGCACATTGGGAGCCATCGAGTCTCTCTCATGGACAGAGCCTCATTCCAGTGAGGGGTATCAGGTTTGGGGACACAGCTGCAGAGTCAGGCTGCAAAACAGAATTTCTCAACCTTTTAAATCTGTGCCATCATTTCTGCAGAAGTCTTGTATTTCCTAGGTGATTTGGGTACATACCTGTAATTGGAATTTCCCGATTATCTGCCAATCCTCCGGCCTGGGAAATGGTATTGGAGTTGTATTTGTAGATGGCTGAGTGTCATCGGCAGGTGGACACGGTGTCCACCTGTTCTGGATGTAACCCTTTTCAGACATGCAGGAGGTTGCACTGCAGTTTATAACCCAGGAAGGTTTTCTGGCTCAAGGACAAAATTCATAGTGTTGGAAACAAGAACAACTCAGATGATGGATTTAGGAACCAGTCTGTTCCTCTTACTGTAATAAAGACCATCGATCTTCCTGAGGCCCAGATCCAGCCTCGTGGGATCCCAGTCTCATCACAATTCAGGAGCAGGAGAATGATGGTGGACTCTCAGGAAAGACTGAGCGGACCAGCGTCAGAGCATCAGTTTGGCCTCCACTTCTTCTCTTTTTACATCACAGCATGGTAGCATCAGAACAGAGTTTGTGGAGCATCTTGGAACAGTTCTAGCCCAGTATCTAGGGGGAAATAATTTGTAGTGTCAACATTTCATGAGCAATTTAGGAACATCTAGGAGGAAAAACAATCCCAAGAGAGCCCTCACTGCAAACACTGACAGCCCTGTTGTGGGTGAGGTGGATCTGATGGGCCAAGGTTGCAGATGGATAGGAGCACCATGGTCCCCCACGGATCTGGCCCGGACCACATAAGAGGTGCATACAGATGGCGTGGGAGCACCACAGCACAGTCGCCTCCCGCCCCTGCCCCCTGTGGATCTGTCCCCAGCCACATAAGAGGTGCTTGAATGCAGAGCTCCAATGAAGCAGAAGTACGTCATCCCCCCCACCACGGGACATGGTGGTGCCATTCCTACAGCCAGTGTCGTGCATCCATTGAGTTTGGGGTTCTCGTGCTGCCATGGACAGAGCTGGGGTTAGAGATCAAGAAAAGGAGGAATGGTAATTTCCACTTATTTGGTGCTATCCATATGGCTGGAGTAACAGGACACTTCAGAGAGGCAGTCCCACAGGTCTGGGAGTGGAAGGAGCCCTTGATATGCTTCCATGTTTTCTTCTTTCCAGGCAGGCATCCCTGTGGGGTGCATGTCTGAACCCCTCACCTATCCCCCCTCACCAGCGCCTGCTGGTGGCTTGACACGTCTGTGGAGCTTGCCTGGCCAGCATCACTGTGTTCTTCCATGATGCTGGGTCACACTGAAGGGTGAGCTGCTCACAGAGTTGGGCAGTAGGACTGGCAGGGTCACACCCTGCATCGTGCTCATGATTTTTCCTTGTCTTTAGCATTCCGAAGTCTTGATTATGAGGCGTAGGGCACTGGTTTGTGTTTGTTCTGCTTCTCAAATCTGTATGTTCACATGTTTTGCCGAATTTAAGACATTCCAGCTATTATTTCTGGAGTGTTTGCCAGCCCTCTGGGACTTCAGCGGCACGGAGGTGAGAGCGGCTGCTCTGGTACCGCGAGCTCCAAGATTCTGTTACTATTTGTTTACAGTGTATTTTCTTTCTGTTGTTAAATTGTATAATTTGTCGATTTTTTTCTTCAAATTATTCTTCCTGTTCTTTGATTGCTCTATCTTGCTATTGATCCCATTCATTGAAGTTTTAATTTCAGTTATTATTGTTTTTCTAAAATTTCCATTTAGTTCTCTTTTATGTCATCTGTTTCTTTGCCAAGATTTTGTAATTTTCATCTTTCAAGTAAGTGTTACTGTTTGTGAAAGCATTCTGATGGCAGCTTTGAAAACGCTTGTCAGTAATTCCTCTGCTGGGTCAGTCAGTGTTGACGTCTGTTCATTTTCTTCTCAAGTTGAGAGTCTCCTGACCCTTGATCTGACAAAAGTTTTCAGCTGCGCCTGGACACCTGCGTGAGGCCATGAAGCTCTCAATCGTACGTGGGCCTTTGGGTGAGAGCCCTCTCTGACCCATCGCTGGGGTGCTGCGCTGCTCCAGACCGTCTGTCTGAGCCTGGCCCTCTGCCCAGGCATTCTGACCCTCTAACTTCACGGGTGAGACTATACGCTGGCTGACCTCTACACAAGGAATATTCAGGCAATGCTCAGACATTGTATTTTCTCCCCCTTCATGTGAGCAGTGATCAGGGGAGGGCCGCTTGCATCCCATCTTGTTCACAGTGGCCAGGGGCCTGCACCTTGCAGGGACTTTCCGGAGCTCACGCTTCCTGCTAGATGGAAGATGACCAGGTTGTCCAGGACAAGCTCCTTGCTGGAGCCAATACCCATGTTTCAGAGCAACAGGGTCCCTGGGTAAGGAGCTCAGAGGGGCTTGGGTGCCCAACAGTGATGAAGAAAACCAGGGACAGCCCCTCTCCCCCTAGGGAGGTGCATAGCATGTTGGCACCTTCCATGTTTCTCTTCAGAATTAAGCGTGGGCCACGAAAGATGACTCACCTTCCTTCCTCTGGCACAGCTGCACTCCCATTTGTTGAAAAACGCCTGCTCCCATCTGCCTGAGAATCTCGAAGCCTTTTTTGGAAACTTGTTGAGGGCCTTTCTCCAGACACTGATGGAGGAGCTTCGCTCTTCCCAGCCCCAGAGCTGAGCCCTAGAGGAAACTTCTGAGGGCTGACCCCAGTCAGGGAGTTCCTCTTCTGAGCTGTGATCTTGGCCCCAGATCCGATTGAAGAATGTCTGCTCTCCCTCCAGACCACACATGCTCAGCTCGTTGCCTGCTGGCTGGGTCTGATTGCCTTGAAGATGATTTATCTCTGGCCTAGGAGGGCCAGGAGCTCAAAGGCAGACCAGGGCAATGTGAATATGACCCAGGAAGTGTGAATATGACCAGGGAAACGTGGAGCCCAGCCACCCAGGATGGGGAAGAGCATCCCGGGGTCCTCCTGGGGCTCCGCTTGCTGTGGGCATTGTGGCCACCGCCAGGTTAGAATGGTGCAGGCCAGCGTGGGGTGCCTGATGTGCTGTCCTCGTGGGTGTGGCTCCCAGCAACGCTGAGCTGCAGTGGAGGGAGCAGCAAAGGCTCACAGCCAGGATGTTCATGGTCAGACAATGCAGTGGGAGCCATCCAGCCAGGGGAGAGGTTCCTGGCTCAACTGGGAAAGAGCTAGACCCCGGGCAAGAGCCAAACCACCTGGGAGTGACCCTCGTGTCCCCACAGGGTGAGGCCTGAGGCCTGGCTCCTGGCACAGTCCCTTGAGGAGCCACTATCCTGTCAAGTTGAAGGCTCTGCTGCAGTCAGCCTGAGCTGGCCAACAGGGAGGTCCAGGAGATGATGAGGGCTTGAAAACAAGATGGTTCATCCGTCTGTCACTTTCTCATTCCTACCTCCCTTCACCTGACAGGCACTGCTGTGTGTAGCCACTCGGGCACTGGACCCAAAGGGTCTGTCCACACTGTGCTCACAGGGGGATGATGGCCAGCTGCCGCTGGCCATGTGGTGATCAGGACTATGAGAAGTAGATGAGAGGAATGGGGCTAGGGAAGATAGGGCGGGGTCCGGGGATGGACTGGCGATATTGCTATAAACCGTCCCAGAAGATCTCTCAAGGGAATCAGTTTGAGAGAGTCCTGACAGGAGGGAGGGTACTGCGGTTGACTTGGATGAACAGCATTCACAAGGGTGGGTACATTTGACGCAAAGGCCCTGCGGTCAGCAGTGCCGGCTTGTGGCCGGTATGGGCAGAGGAGAAGTGGGCAGGAGTCGAGGTGGAATGCAGGTGGCCACGCTTTGTGGCTGCGCTACTGCTCAGCACCAGCCTGCATCTCCAGCTGTGAGGAGGCCTCTTCCACACGAGGACCACCTCACGCAGCATCTCTATTTTCTTATTTCAGACTCACAAGCAGTACCTTGAAGCCACCAATGAGAGCAGCCGCTTCTTCCTGTACTGTGCCTTCTTAGACTTCAGGTATGGTGGGTGCCGGGGCCCCCGCAGGCACAAGGGCGGCAGGAAGGATGGGACTGTGGGCCAGATGGCAGTCACGCAGACCAGGGTAGATCCAGGCCACCCGTGTAGCCAGCAGGGTTGCATGATCACAGGTGCTGAGTTTTGCAGCCAGTTGTTGTGCAGATGCATCAGCATGAGCCTCAAGAGGCCCAGGGCAACCAGGTCAGGGGAGGGGAGCTGATGGTGGGGGTGGGGGGATAGAGCATGCTGTGTGGCTGGGCAGTCCTGAGGCCTGGATGCCCCTGACCTGAGGAGCCTGAGCGTGTGGCTGGGAACGGGTGTGGGGAGCAGCCCTCTGCCGGGTGATAAGTCAGCATTTCAGGGTCTCATATTTAGAGTTGATGTCCAGAAGCATATCCAGGAATAGGAACAAGTTCTATTGCCAAAAACCCCACAAATACCTTAGAAAAAATAATGAGAACTAAAGATGGAGCTTGTGAGAAGAAGCAAATGGACAGTGGGGGCGGGGAAAGGTGCCCAGCATGGCTGGTCATCACCGGTCCCCAGTGAGGATGCAGAGGGCAGTGTGCCCCAACCCTCCCCCCACCCCCCGCAGACGCAAGGCCCTCTTCCTCCTCCAGTTTTTCCAGTTCCTTTATCAGGTTTTGGAGTTGTGTTGCTAGCAGCACATATGCTTTGGTTGTCCAGCCTCCTATCTTCATGTAATACCCTCCTTGATCCTAGGCCTGTGTGTTGGTCTCATTTAAAGGCAGCTGCTTGGCTTTAGATTTGTGCTTACATCTTTATGTCCTGTGAGTGGATATCTTCACCCACATTTTTGTCTGATCTGATTTGTGCATTTATATTTGAAGTGGGTTTTTTTTTTTAGACTACATATGACTATGTTTTTTCTTGCTTTTTTTTTAATCCTTTACTTTTTTTCCCACTACTGGAGTTGAACTCAAGGCCTTTTACCCAGGCAAGCCTGGGTAAAATTTGTTTTTAATTGGTGTGTTTAGGTAACTTGAATTTAATATGATTATTGATACAGTTAGATTAAAACTGACTCTTTTGCTAGATGTTTTCTAATTTTTCCATCTTTTCCTTGCTTCTTGTGTTTTGTTTACTTATTTTTTTCTCTATTTGATTTTGGGAGTATTTTTATGATGTTATTTTACTTCACCAGTGACTTCTAATCTATGCTTCCTTTTGAAGTTTTTGTAACAGTTACCTTAAGTTTGCTGTAGATTTGTTGAGTTCATCGTTGTCTGCCCTCAGTCAGTACTGTGTCATTCATGGTTTTAGAAGTGTGACTGGCATTCCCACAGCTCCTGCTGCCCAGGCCTGGCTGACTCCTCAGTTGTGTCTTCTGGTGCCACGAAGGCGAGGTGACATGTCCTAGGTGCCATAACTGTTAAGTGACGTGGCTGCTGCCTGCCCCCTGACACGGATCATCTTGTAGAAAGTTGAACAAGACCACAGCAGTGACGCCCACAATGGGGCCCTGCAGGCTTCCTTCCCGAGGTCTCACCCGTGTCTTTGCAGAGCTACATTTCCCCGTGCTACTTTCCATTAGCCTTTTCTTGTGCAAGTCTGTTGAAAATCAATTCAGCTCTTGGTTAAGAGAATTAGTCTCCTGTATTCTGAAAGGTATTTTCACTGTGCCACTTTATTTTTTCTAAATTTATTCTCTAAGAAGTTATGTAACTAATATCTCAGTATATTATTCTTTTAGAAAGTAAAGCGTTATGATACTGGGGTTTCAATTCAGGGCCTCCCGCTTGCTAGGCAGTGTTCTGTCACTTCAGCATGCCTCTAGCCCTTTTTTTGTGTTATTTTTCTAGTAGAGTTTTTTCCCCACCTCCCCATCCCAGCTGACCTGAACTGCAATCCTCCTATTTCTACTTCCCATGTACAAGGATGACGGACATACGTCACTATGACTAGCCTTTTATTGCTTGAAATGAGTTCTTTAGAATTTTTTTTACCTGGGCTAACTTCCAACCACGATATTCCCAGTCTGAGCCTCCCAAGTAGCCAAGATTATGCATGTGAATCACTACTGTAGGCTTAAAGTATTATTTTAATTTTATTTTGCTGGTACTGGGGTTTAAACTCAGGGCCTTGCCCTTGCACAACTTGCTGGCTCAACTGGTGCTCTACGGCTTGAGCCACTCTTCCAGCCCTGCTTTTCATAGACAGAGTCTTGTGGATTTTACTGCTTACACTGGCTTCAAACTATGATCCTCTAGGTATCAGATGGCACCACACCCATTCTGAAGTAGTATTAATGTTATTGTGCCAGTCCTGGGACTTGAACTCAGGGCCTGGTTGTTATTCCTGAGCATTTTTGCTTAAGGCTAGCACTCTACCACTTAAGCCACAACTCTGCTTCTAATTTTTTCAGGTAGTTAATTGGATACAAGAATCTCACAGCCTTTTCCTACCCAGGTTGGCTTCGAACCATAATCCATAATACTCAGAGCCTCCTGAGTAGCTGGGATTACAAGTGTGAGACTCCAGTGCCCACATAAACTATTTTCCCCTTTGTGCTTTATTCTTGTCCTCCCCAGCAATGACCACTGAGAGTGTGTGCATGTGTGCATGCACGCACACACACACTTCTCAATAATTGACATATTGTCTATGTTCATAGGAAGTACTTGGTGTTATTTAGTTTAACATTCCTTTTATCATTCCACCCCATCTTAGTTTTGTGTTCTGCCCCTGTTGATAGCTGTGTCTTTTGTTGTATTTGCAAATATTCTCCATGCAGTTGAGTGACCACTTCTTGTCTAGCTGCAGACTTCAGAGGTCGTGGGCTGTGCACATTTTTGAGGCTGTGCAGCAGGAGGGAGCTGTCTTTTTGTGTCCAAAACTGCTTTGGGAATGAAACTTCACCCCGTGAGGGGCCACACTCGGCTCTGCACCCCTGCTGGTTGAGGCAGCATCACACCTTACAGTGTTCTTCCTCTGTGGCACTCACAGCGTCTGGCAGGATTTCTAAATCTATCTCCTGACATGTCTACTTGTTCAGTGTCTGCTGATTCTCAGGTTACCTCTAATCACAGTTGCATTTGTGCGTGCAGCAGACAGACACAGGAGCTGTAGAAAATAACAGCATATATGGTAGCCCCTGTCTGGGTCCTGGGAAATTAGACTTAAGGGTGAGGTAGAGTGAGGCAGGGGCATCCACCATTGTCGGTCTCTTATCCTGAAGTTATTGATGGGGCCGGGCTCTGCTGAGCAGGTGGTTCAGTGGCTCTGGCCTTGCTCTGCAGATGCTTCCTGCCTCCCTCGAGTAACTCATCAATCCCTAGAACTGCTGTCTCTCAGTCCTCTGACTCCCCTTGGAATGGCCTTCCCACCTCCTTCAGATCCACTGGGGAAGGGCTCCACATGGTGCTGGCACATGCTGGGACGTTGGTGTGCTCCTAGTGTGTGTTCCTCAGCTGGGAGGTGCAGGACAGGCACGGCTTGTCCCGGTGGATGGACACGCACTATGGCCTCCACGGTGGTGTTTCGGTTACAACTCAATATGAAGCAAAGACAAACCACTCCTGTTCCTCATCTCTATCAACTCCTTTCCCTAAGGGCTCCTGCCTTTGCTTGAAGCAAAGGTTTGTCTTTGCTGATTGCTTAAAGCTGCAGCTCTGCGAAGATCCACTTCTGACACCTATGGGGAACTTGAAAATACAGAGAAGTACAGACCATGATTTCAAAATTGTCCATCTTCTCGCTGCATTCATTAGCCACCTGCCATCCACATGCTTGTGGAGGTCATTTCTTGTCTAAGCGCCTGCTGTAAGCAACTATACTAGTCACGTGCCAGTTACAAGCAAGGCCATCATAAAGGAAGTGTCCCCTGCATCCTTTACAGCTTAGCTTCCCTTTTCCCTCCCTGGGTGACCACGGTGGAGGGTCCCTTCTGTACCCACAGGACGCCCCCCGGACATGCACAGTGGGGTTGTTCTGTGCTCTGGCATCATTGTATCTGCAGCAGTGCACCCTGGTTAGGGACGCAGTAGTTTCCCTCCTATTTTCCTTGTATAGCATTTTGCTTCTGTTTGGCCATATTTGTATACGCTGTATCTTGTTTTTATTGTGTTTCTATGGACCGCATCTCATTTATCTATCTTGCCATATTTCTGTACACTGCTTTCATTAGTCCACTCCTCTGATGGACACTTGCTGCTGTAGTGGTTTCTTGAATCACTCAGGATTTGCTGAGTTTCCTCGGCTGTGTGTGTGTGCGTGCGCACACGTGTGCATAGCCCAGCACCCCTGAGCTGGCCACCCACACATTGGTCACTTGGTCTCACGCTGGGCCTAGTCCAGGCGCTTTCCAGAGTGGCAGTGCAGGGCAGCTCGTCCCCCCACCCCAGCAGAAGCTGTCATCCCCTCAACACCAGCAGCGGCCACTCTGCTGGGCAGGCTCTAAGAATGCCATGCTGCAGGTCTGGGCTGCCGCTCCCCAGCAGGGGAGGCAAGTGGCCTGTGGGGCTGGGGATGTGGCTCTCTCTGGCCCTGGCCAAGGTTTGGCGCTGCCCCACTGACCGTGCCTGCTGTCTCCTCAGCTCCGGGGAAGGCATCTGGTCGAGCCAGGGCTGTGCGCTCACGGAAGGAAACCTCAGCCACTCCGTCTGCCACTGCACGCACCTCACCAACTTCGCCATCCTCATGCAGGTGGTCCCTCTGGAGGTAGGTGCTCCTGCGGCCTGGCATCGGCTGAGCAGGCCCCAGACCCACGGCCAGGCTGTGCCGTCCTTTTTATGTCCCCGGGAATGACTGGACCCACTGTTACCACGTTTGAAGGGCGAGCTGAAGGTGACCTGATGCACATGGAAAGCCCACAGTGAGGGGAACTGGAGGGGACAAGGACGCCACAGAGGCCTGGAAGGGGGTTCGTAGAAGCCCCTGGGCTGCCTGCCCTTGGGGAGACATTCAGAGGCCGCGTAAAGAGCCAGGAGGTCTTCGGAGAGGTGTGAGCACCAGCAGTGTGAGCATCAGGGGGGCCTGCGGAGAGGTGTGAGCACCAGCGGTGTGAGCATCAGGGGGGCCTGCGGATAGGTGTGACCACCAGCGGTGTGAGCATCAGGGGGTCTGCAGAGAGGTG